GGCTTGATGGTAAGGCGCTAAATTAACGACAAGGAATTTCGTGGTTCGAATCGGCTCCCGACTGCTCCTGCTTAGGCTTGGGCAAACTTACAGTACCTCAGCCTTCGCGTTTCCTTTGGGTGGCACGGCAGCTAGGCGCCGAAAGGGTGCTACGGATAAATCATCATTACTATCTGGGCAGGCCACTTCCAATCCAAGGACGGGTACTTGAGTTTGTGGAGCTTTTTACATATCTCGAAAGTTCATATGGTGTAGTAGTTGGAGGTAATGGTCGAATCTCGTGTTGTATTTGCCGATTTATGATACCTGTGGCGCCAAAGCGGCATATCTCTGAATGGATAAATCATCATTACTATCTAGGCAGGCCACTTCCAATCCAAGGACGGGTACTTGAGTTTGTGGAGCTTTTTACATATCTCGAAAGTTCATATGGTGTAGTAGTTGGAGGTAATGGTCGAATCTCGTGTTGTATTTGCCGATTTATGATACCTGTGGCGCCAAAGCGGCATATCTCTGAATCTCAAGCGACATGTATGTCAAGAAACAGTGTGGGCTATTTTTCAGTACGACTGTGAGACGTGGCCTCTTCAAGCGATGGAACTTAGGCGTCTTCGGACCTAGGATCGTTGCTCATGCAGGCGAATCCGTAGAAAGTCAATTAGTAACCCATGTTCGGGCAGGCAACGGACTCTAGGCGAGGCCTGTGTCCAGCACAAAAGCTTCAGTGGTTAGGCCATGCATTGCGTGTTGTTTGGCTTGTCCAATTCAGGTAGGCGGTTAGCCTTTGACATGACAAAGTGGTGTGAAAAAAACGAAATACATTCACTTGTATATCAAATTGGTTTTGACGGGGAACCCAGCCGAATCTCTCGTTAATGATGTTTTTAAGCATGAAAGAGATTAAGAAGAAACTGTTGATGCAACTCGCCTTCCAGAATGGGGTCATCGTGGCCCTCCGTGTGCATCGATGGAAACTCTTCAAGATACTCCTGGTAATCGATATCGGTTGTGTTGTTGTCATCAGTTGCTGTCCAGGCTGCTTGCATGAGTATCTGGAGGTGCCTGCACCCCCTAACTTATTTTCTTCAAAATAAAGCTTTCGAATAAATTCTGATTGCACGGCAGTAATGCATTATTGTTGAGCACTAATGTTGTGCTGTCAGTGATGTTACTCCACTTACCGGATCACATCTACGTCGGCTTGTGATAAAATGGGAACAAATTGACATTGTCCGAATTACGACTTGATTATTCCGCCTACTTCAGCCTTTTTGTTCCTTAGACTGCCCAATCCTCGGATTCGGGCGATATTCGACATTTAGGTGTTCCCCGTGAGGTATTTAATCTAAGACATGCTTTTTTGTACTGCGTACAGTCAATTGTCTTGGAGATTTTCTGTCCTGGATTTCGATAGAAATTTTAGATGGTAATTTGCAGAAGTTTTCCCTCCTGTTGATAGGCTGAATACTGTAGATGACAGTGATAGATAAATCCAATTTTAACCATGTGTAGTTTGTTGATTTTCTTGGTGCGTTTCTAAGAGCGATTGGCCAGAATATTGTTCACCAAAAGTCCTATCGAACGCATTTCTTTGCAATGCGTCTGCAACCCACGACATCCTTGCAGGCGCGGACAATGGCGAGGTTCACATACTATCTCGCAGTTGACTGAAATTAGCTGTTGTATTACTCATAACTGGAACGCAGCCCTTCAGTCAGTTCTACTCACGATGTAGAACACTTTAACTGTTATTCTGGAGAATCGCTGGTTGAATCCATGCACATTACATCTTTCAACTGCAACTGTGGTTCTTTTCACTAGGATCAGTGAAGTGTTTTTATATTGCACCGGTTTGGATAACTGCTGCGGAAAGTTAGACTTACCTGACATGAGACCTCTTTCGTGGTGCAACAAACGAACCTCTTTGTCCCGAATTCCCGTCGGTCGCGTTTTCACATAGGCCAGAGGGGCACCTTGATTCAAGAATCGAATGTGGGCGTGTTCGAGGAAACAATCAGTACATTATGCAAACAGCTGAGAGTCATTCAGTTTCAGCCCCAACGTGCCTACGTAGAAAGCAAAACATGCTGTCCGTTGAGAATTCCAACTTTAGAAGCAAAAAGTCCAATCACTGAATCAACCCATCGCTTTTGGTGCAAAATCCGTTGCCTTTGTCCCCCCGACAAAGATGCCTACCAGCTCTTGGTTTTCATCAGACAGCGAAGTTGCTTGACACCGAAAAAATAACTTGTCCAAGTGGAGTTTGGCTTTTCAATTTGAAGGAACTGGGCAATTT